TAGCTCAGTACAGTACTATAGCACTTGCCTAGCTCTGATTAGGTCTTGGGTTCCATTCTCAGCACTGCACACATAGGACACGTGCACACACACACACACGCACGCATACACATACACACGCTCACACACATATACACGAGCACACACACGCACACACACAAACAAATCAATTTGAACTTAAGAAACATACAACAATACTAATTGATGACAATCAGATTCCCTTGTCAAAACACCAAGGATCAACAAGAACTAAGAACACATTTGAAAAAAGGAAAGGAGGGGTACGGAGATAGCTCAGTAGAATAAGCACCTGCCAGGCAAGCACAAGGGCCTGAGTTCAATCCCTGGTTCCACCAAAAAATAAAACAAAATAAAACCAAAAAAAAGACAAGGAAAAAAATTAAGATTTCTTGAAAGCAAGCACCAATAGTCAAATTATTCCCCCAATCTTGCATAACTATATCTGTTAATCTGAGCAACAGATCTGGCAATAAAAATAGATAACAGGGGGCTGGTGAGATGGCTCAGTGGTCTAAAGCACCTATTTAGAACAAGCTAGGCTAAGCAAAGCACAGGAACCGTGGTTCAATCCCCAAGCACCACATGCCAGCCAGCCCCACCCCCTGGTGGGCTGAGCTGGCCACACACACACAAAATAAATAAATAAATAAATAAATAATAAAAAAAATAAAAATAGATAACCACTGTTGTTTTTTTAATATTCATTTTAATGAGAAAAAAGATGAAAGTTTCAAAACAGGTTAGTAGGACAGCTACAATACTTAATACATTGTGTCCTGCTGTCTCCACAGCAGTTGTTCAGAGGACAAGATGCAGACGTGATAGGCTGTCTAAACAAAGGTTTGTGTTAATTTTTTTCTTTTTTTTTCCTGTGGTACTGGGGATTGAACTCAGGACCTTGTACTTCCTAGGTAGGCACTTATGCCACTGAGCTATTTCTCTGGCCCCTACAACCACTGTTCATTAGCTATTCCTGTTTTGAAAAATCCGTAAGATATGTATTATTTATTATCCTGTTTGTCTTTTTTCTATTTGTCTTTGCTTGTTTTTACTCTTCAAAGTAAAGTTAAATAGAAAAAAATATGTAATAGGGGCCAGGGAGATGGCTCAGCAGAATAAGCCCTTGCCTGGCAAGTGCAAGGGTCTGAATTCACTCCCCAGTTCCGCCAAAAAAATAAAATAAAATAAAATAGAACATGAAATAGCTTTTAAAAAAAATACGTAATATAACCATTGTTAATTTGTTATTCTTGATTTGAAAATCTGTAACATGTATTGTTATATATTGCTCCATTTCTATCTTTGTTTCTGCCACTTGTTCTTGCTTTTGTTTTACTCTTCAAAATGAAATAAAATTAAATTTTAAAAAAAGACCTAGAAGCCGGGGAGATGGCTCAGTGGAATAAGCGCTTCCCTGGCAAGTGCAAGGGCCTGAGTTCAATCCCTGGTTCCGCAAAAATAAATAAA